AGAAAACAAGACAGTTTGTATTACTAGCAGTGGGACATGCATCAGTAATCTCCACAATACCATGCTTAGAATAAGGTGAGAGGTTCAAATAGAACATTTTTGTTAACAACATGGAAAATCAGTGAGACTGGTATACTCTACTGCAAATCATGTGTAAAAGACCCTTACGTGACCTTATTGTCAATGTGTTTTTCATGGCTTCCCCTGTATTACAAATTACCTGAGATACAAACCTTAACGGAGGAAAAGGTCATTTTAATTGCATCTTATGAAACTGCTACAGCCTTCACTTGCTCAGTGAACAAAGGCAGTGGGGATTAAGTTAAAAAGAAAAAAAATACTGCTTGTCAGATTTAGTAATTTTGAGAAATGTGCAATTTAATAAATGCCATTAGGATCAACTCACTAAGCTTTAACAATTTTTATTTGCCATAATGACAGTTGATTTTCAGCAATCAGAGCAAAGGAAAGCAAAACATGTTGTATAAGAAACAGTAAGACTAGTAACAACTAATGAAGTGGCTAGATGTAAACAGAGCTGCTTTACATTCACTAAACCTATGGGAAAACCTGCTCATTTTACTAAAGCATAAATAGCCAATATTTCATAAAACACTCTATTGTCTTTGTTGTCTAGTGACAGGAAAAGCATTCTGTGCTGACTTCACAAATTTGCACAATGCAATGTAAATGGTTTGAACAGTATTGTGACTTTGAGTTATTTTATCAAGTTTTATTACATGAGTCATGCAAAGATTAACAATATTCACTAACCCATTGCTAACAATTAGACAAGACTAGAGAGCACACATCAGCTCATCAACAGCAGAATACAAGCCTGCTAAGCACAAAAAGCCAGTCAGTATGAAATAACAGAAGAAAGTTGAAGTATACATACTCATATTAACCAGCTAATGAGTTAATGTGATCTATGATGACCTGGGGGTCCTCTAAGATCACAGATTTGGCAATAGTAAGCAATGCCAAGCAGCAGCCAGCAACACTAACAAGATACTGGCATGTATTAAACAAGGAAATGTAGCAAGGGACCAAAGAGTAATACTTCCACTTTATAAAATCACTGGTTAAGCCCCATCTTGAGTATGCTGTACAGTTCTGGTCGCCCACTGTCAGGAGGGACGTCCTGGAACTGGAGAGAGTTCAGAGAAAGGCCCCGAAGTTAATTAAAGGGATTGAAGGCCTGAGTTATGTGGACTGCATTGAAAATCTTAACTTATTCGCCTTAGAAAAGAGGCGATTAACCTCCCTGGCGGTATTGCCGAGTGTGGCTCGGGGTTCATTTCAGTACCATAAGCGGAAACCCCGAGCCACACTCGGGATTACACAAAAGTGTCACTTACCTTGTCCCTGCGTGTCCGCAGTGTCCTCTGCTGTACGCGGCCGGCTGACATTCAGCCGGCATTCGGCTTTCAGTTTTGTTTTCGGCACCACAGCGGGGGGCGGAGCCGGTGGGAAATTCAAAAGTGAAAACATGACATTTACACAGAATACAATGTAATCTGCTATAATTAAATTTCTGTATCAAACCATTTCACTTCAATTTTGTCCCTAGAGCTTTGTCCAGTGCCCTGCCTGCACTTTTACTGTTCTTTCTGCCTGGAAACTTGAGAATGTCCATGGCATCCAAAAAGCGTCCCTTTAGGTCAAAAGCGGTTTTAGACAAGGTAGAAAACAGCGATAGTGAATTAGAATCCCTTGCAGAATTTAGTGATAGTGATTCGTTGGGAAATTCGTCATCAGACACTGAAAGTGATGACAGCGACGATTCTGCGACCGAGCTCAGCGATGTGCGAACTTGGTACTCTATTGACTGTGGTACGGATAAGGCAGCGCCCCCAGAATTCCCATTTACTGGACCATTTTTTTATTATTATATTATAATTTTTTATAATTATTTATTATATAATAATTTCTTATAATTATTTATTATATTATAATTTATGATTTCGTGTTTCAAACTTTATCATACCCGGGATGTCTACTGGATTCTTGTTTGGACAGATTAAGGTGAGTTATTCCTAAGATTTACTAAGAATTACAGGCCTACAAACACAAAAAAAAAACAATGTACCGCTTTGGCATGCTAAAATCCTGCATAATCATACCGCCAGGGAGGTTAAGAGGGGACCTTATTGCAGTCCTCAAAATCATCAATGGGGACCCCAATATTAAGAACTAGCTTTTTAATCCTAAAACTGTTTTGAGAACCCAGGGACACAACAAGAAGTTAGAAGAGAGGGGGTTCAATCTTAGAATTTGCAAGGGATATTTCGTTGTGAGAGTAGTGAAAGTTTGTAATTCCCTCCCACAGGTGGTGGTATCTGCTGATAACATTGATACGTTCAAGAAACTACTGAATGAGTTTCTTCTCTCGCAGAATCTAAAGGGATATGGGAAGTTGTAAAGCCAGATAAACAAACACACACACACATAGGTTGAACTGGATGGACCTTGGTCTTTATTCAACCTAAAAAATAAAAACCCCATGGTGATTAAATACCACCAAAGGAAAGCTCTATCTGTCCACCAAAAAATGTTACAAAAATTAATTTTGGCACGCTGTTGCAAAGCTGAATAATTGTTAGTCAAAGTGCAACAGCACTGAATACTGAAAAATGGCCTGGACAGGAAGGGGGTTTAACATCCCAATCATGAAGTGGTTAAAATCATAACCTTTAGCCAAAATATAGAGAATAAAATAATAAATAGTTAAAAGTATAATGGGACAGATGGGAAGTTTTTCCTCAGCATATGTTAAAGAAACTGGCTCAAAAGTTTTTTTATTGTTCAGTTTAATGTGTTTTGCATGCTCGAACATCAATAAAATTGTATTTCCTACAAACCAATCAGATCACAAATCCTGTAAAGGAAAGACTATTTTTATTAGCTGATCTCCAGTCTCACCTTGCAGAGTCTTGCACACTTTCACAGGCTCCTCTCTTACTTTGCTCACTGCACACTGTGAGCTTCTCATTGTATGCATTGGAAGCAGATAGAGCCCGCCTCATTTCTTGACTGTCCCTGACCCACCACTTTCATTTATTATATTTCAGCTTTTCAATCAAGAAGGCTCAGGAACACATGTGGGCATTACCTAGTGTAGTCTTCATGCAAATACAGTCTGGGTAGGAATGCCCACTCCTCCAGACTGGCATCCACTCTTCAAGACATTTTGGTATTTGTAAAACTCCTCCCAAGAGCCAGCCCACTGCTTGTATCAGGTCAGAGAACTCTTAAGAAGAGCAATGATGCAGAAGTATATGTACAGCAGCCTTCCAGCCCCTTCCACCATCTGAATCTGTCTGAATTGCATAAAGAAGCACAGAGACCCAAGGATGACATCACTGGGTTTAAATAATGTGTGTAATAAAATGGAAAGGTTTTAAAATATAATTTAGTATGTTGATGAGGGGAGAAATTAGGAGCCAAGAAAGGCAAAATATAAGCAAATTATACTTAAAGGAGAACTATGAGGTGAGTGCTTTTCACTTACCTCATAGTTCCATCCGACCTGTGACAATGAGACTGTCGCAGGTCGGCTCAGTAGATCAGGAGGTGAGCGGACACATACCGGCGTTAGCTCACTTCTCGATCCTGTCACGGCTCTGTGCTGTGACAGGGGAGGGGCTGGATTCCCCCCTCCCCGCTCCGATCCGCCAGCGCTGACTGGCGGAACGGACGGGGGAGGGGGCGGGTACAGCTGGATCTGCCTCTAGATAGGCAGAGCCAGCTGTCAGTCATGCAGCTGGTCGGATCCCGGCACAATTGTCGGGCTCTGCTTCAGCTGCGGCGTCTCAGTATACCGCGAGCAGCAGCTTGTGGTATACTGCGGTGTCTCGGTATACCGCGAGCTACAGCTCACGGTATACTGAGCCTAGGGTGATGGGAGGTCTAGCGTCCTCCCTAAGGAGAACTATGGGGAAAAGCCTTAACCCCATAGTCCTCCTTTAAGCTTTATGTATTGAGCATAATGGTTAGAACCTTCCAAAGGTAAGCCTGTTCTGGTGACAAACATTTTAAGAGAGAATAACCCCTCCTTTTTTTTAACTTCCTGCTGTGTTTCTGGGACAGGATATGGTAATCTTCCCTATGGGACACAGACTGGAAAAAAAAACCCGACATGTGTCTTAAATATTACTTATTATATCCAGAACAAAAACAAAAATGTTGGCTTTACATATACTTTGGCGGTGGTTGGTCATTATTTGTTGGTAGGGATGAGTGAATAATAGAAAATTTGCCGTACTGATGATTTTCTGCAGAGGACTCTATTATTTGCTCCTTAAATATTTGTGTATTGATAACCAGATAGTATTAGTGAACCAATAAGAAGTATTTCAAGATATCACATGCTGGTTCATTGCTTGCAGAACACACAGCAGGAACCCCAACAGTAAGCAATCCAGTGGTATTATAAGTAATATGTATAAGTAATATATAAGTGTAACACCTTTAGGCATTTATTACCATGTCCAGAGATCACCGTATTCACCCTGACAATACATTCATCTTTGTTTCCCTCCAAAAGGATAGGGCCATCTTTGTTTAGCCACTATTCATGGTTAGCATCTAGACTGAAAATCATAGTGCCTCTGCAGTTTTGCCTTTGTTCACACATTTTTGACACAGATCATGCCCTGTTGTAACCTCTCACCTTTAGACTTGCTAAAAAGCTACAGTGTTACAGTCTGATCATGGTGGGAGAGGAGACTGAGGAAATGCTTCCTCCAGACTGCAGCAAACTAATGATTACTTAAAATTAGATTGTGATTTTTCAAAACAAACAGTGATAGGGTGGTCTTTAGCAACAGGGATAAGAGAACAGCTCAGACATCTGAAATTATACATAGAAATTAAAGCTATCTGAACTATTTATAGATTGCAATTCAAAGGTAATATATTTATATCGTTTCTCAATGTTTTGTATATTTTTCACTTCAATCAAAAACGAAAAAAAACCATGCATTTATCATCCTTACCTTTTGTTTCATAATCATATCATTAATTTCTTCCACATCTCCTACTGTCACAATTTGTGCCTTTATCACACGGTCAAGAAGGGTGAGCCAGTCTTTGAGTTCGGCACAAGTCTTACTGAATTCAGCCATTGCTGGGACCTCTAAGAGAAGTGAAGATGGCATATCTGCTGTTCCTGTTGTCACCAGAGTCTGAGTAACCACAGAGAATGTTTGTTCAGGAGCTGGAAAAGAGTTTGATTTTTTTTTTTAGTAATGATTAGAAACCGATTTCACCACTTTTGTATGCTTCAACCTGCATTTAGAATATATCACTTTCTATTCATCCATATTTGTGTGTGCATAAATACAGTATGAAAATATCAAATGTACCTTGCAGTCTGTAGCAACTAAGATATATAAATGGTATATGGTAGACACATCCTAAAAAAAACTTACCAAAGATCCTGGCTTCCAAACCTGCTTATCCAGGCAATTGTAATGTCACTCAGCCTTATTGCAGACAAACCTGCCAAGAAATGTTAACTTTGTTTATCCAGTCTTGTCATTTAGGTTTCCCTGTCACACTGAACAGCCAGGTCTCTGACCTCACCTTTTTCCTCAGTAGGTAAGTAAATACAGATTAGTCAAAGACCACTCCACAGATAAAGTCATCTCTGTGCTTATGTCTTCTGTCAGTAAGCTCCTTATCTTAGTTTGACACCATTGTGCAATGCAGTAGAACCTTATTGGCTTATAGTACTGCATTTTCCATCCTAGTCTGGATCTTGCTGTCAATGTGACTACAGAAAGTTACCATTAAGACAAACTGAGGTATTTTACAAAAATATATTCATATACTGGAATATTAGGCGTATTTGAATGTTCTTTTGGTTCTGCTTGAAAATCACGAGAGCCAATCCTATCAGCCTTCTTTCAACCAGTAGAGCAAAGCTGTCATCTAGACCCTACGTTTTTTTAATAACTTTTCCACAAGCTTCCTCTTGCAAAAAAATGGTTGTAACCATCACAATCAGTTGGTGGTACGTAATTGCTAAGACATCTTGAAATGCTTGTCACAACTATGTAAAATCAAAATAATGCTTATAACTGAAGTAATACATCTCAGATAAAAAGATAATGTTGCACATACAAAATTAATCTTGAAGGTTTATGCTAGGAGAGGGTCAAGTTCTGCAAAAATAAAAATGCAAATCTCTAATTTTAATTAACCCCAGGGTAACATTTTTCAAGGTTGCCTATGATATATGAATGCTGGCCTTGTAATTTGATGAGAAAGACAATTATGTGGATAAAGTTTCTGTCAATGCTCAGTGTCTCAGTTGATTTGATTTGATTTGCTGAACAACAGCAGTCCTGTTGTAAAACAGTTTTAGCTATAGCATTATTTTTTTGTCATAACAAGGCACTTCACTATAATTAGCAATTCTTTAGGTGATGACAATTGATAACACTTAAACTGTAATGAGATATCAAGCACATAAATTATTGCAGTTCTACACTGAGTGGCCAGATTATTATGACCACCCCATCAGTACTTCGTTGGGCCACGAGATGACTCCACGAGATGACTTTGTTGGGCCGCCTCGTGACTCCACGAGATGTTGAAAGGTGATGCGAGGAATCTGACACTGCACTGTTGTCCTTCTGTTGTCTTGTACCAGTCTTGCCACTCTCCGTTCTGCCCTAACATTGACTAGTCGCTGACGGCAACAATTTGCACGTTCAGACCCAGATTTTCGGCTGACAGTCCAGTCTTTAAACACTTTAATAATAAGCCCCTCTTGAACATTTAACGAATTCTGCTGTTTTGCTGATACTCGCTCCATGGCTCGGGCGAACAATAATCCCAAATTCCAAGGCTGTTAAATCGCGTTGTTTCCCCATATCTTCAGAAACAAATCACTTCTACTGTCGTGGTAAACAACCTGCTTCCCTATTTATAATGGTCTGGCCCTCTAGCAACTTCAGCGCGAAATTATAGCTAATTTGCCTACAAACGTCAGGTGGTCATAATAAACTGACCACTCAGTGTATATTCATTAACACATTATTAAAGAGGAACTCCAGGAATCTAAAAAGTCAACCCTTGCAGTTGGGCTACCCATGCACTGTAAGGGTTAACTGCTCATTTTGGTCTAAAGGTTCAAATAAAACCCACCAATGTCATCATGTCTAATGCAGTCCATTCACCTGCATTAGATGTGAGGACACCGAGGGACATAGCACAGCTGGAGCAGAGGGGGAGAGAGTTGAGTGCTGACAACCACAAGACTGAGGATCAGGTGAGTATATCTTCTGTATTCCAGCCCCTAGAGAAAACCATATCGTTAACCCTTTCAGTGCCGGGGTAGCTCCACTGCGAGCATTAGCTTTTTAAAATAACTGGAGATCTTCTTTAACCTCTTCAGGACCACACGACATACCTGTATGTCCTGGTCTTAAAGTGGTTATACCAAGCTCATGGCTTCTGCTACAGCCTTGATCTGGGTGTCATTTTGTAGAGCAGGCAGAGGGCTTTTGAGTAAAAGGGATCTGGACATTTGGGTGGCTGTAATTATACTTGCCTCTGAAAGTGACACCCCCGCCCCATGGTTTCCAGGCTCTCCTGCTTCTCTGAGAACAGACTCTCCAGCTTCTCCAGATGAGGCATGTCTGGTTCCTGATCTGCTCTGTGATCACTGAAGCAGGAAGCGCTGTGCCCTCAGCACTTCCTGAGTCAAAGCTGTCAACCCGCCTTGCTGAAATGCAGCAGTGTAATCAAGCACAATCATGTGCTTGATCATGTCTGTTGGAGGGCAAGGAAGACACTAGGGGTTTGCATAAAAAGAGCCTGTCCCTCTCAATGCTATCATTTAGAGGCTTGTAAGCCCTTTTGTGAAAGCAATAAAGTTAAGCAACTACAAATACCTCTTCAGGACCACACGACATACCTGTATGTCCTGGTCTTAAAGTGGTTATACCAAGCTCATGGCTTCTGCTACAGCCTTGATCTGGGTGTCATTTTGTAGAGCAGGCAGAGGGCTTTTGAGTAAAAGGGATCTGGACATTTGGGTGGCTGTAATTATACTTGCCTCTGAAAGTGACACCCCCGCCCCATGGTTTCCAGGCTCTCCTGCTTCTCTGAGAACAGACTCTCCAGCTTCTCCAGATGAGGCATGTCTGGTTCCTGATCTGCTCTGTGATCACTGAAGCAGGAAGCGCTGTGCCCTCAGCACTTCCTGAGTCAAAGCTGTCAACCCGCCTTGCTGAAATGCAGCAGTGTAATCAAGCACAATCATGTGCTTGATCATGTCTGTTGGAGGGCAAGGAAGACACTAGGGGTTTGCATAAAAAGAGCCTGTCCCTCTCAATGCTATCATTTAGAGGCTTGTAAGCCCTTTTGTGAAAGCAATAAAGTTAAGCAACTACAAATTTTAAAGCATTAAAAAAAATAATAATAATAAAATAAATAAATAAAAATGTAAAACATGTACAACCCCTCGCCCCTGCCACCTGCTTGCAAATGCAAACACACATGTAGGGCATGCACATATGTGTAAATAGCTATTTTTCCAAACATGTTCGGTATCACTGCGAATGAGTGGGAGTGAGAGAGTGAGAGTGAGAGCAATAATTTTACAATCATGATTCATGGTTTACTCTAAGCTGATGAGTAGTAAAGGTTTTTAATGCATCACCTATGAACAATATTGAGTAATGTTTTTTCACCTTTGCATGAGCATGTGCACTCTTGACAGGTTTGGCATCTATTTACTCTGACCACATCTTTTATATTTTACAAAAAATGGGTATTGTAGTGTGTTTGTGTCACTAAAATTCATTTTAGTGTATTTTTTTTAAATATCAGTTTGATAAACATTTGGGCTAATTTTATGTGAAAATACAACTTTTTTTTTATTCTACAGGGCCTCTGCTTTTAGAAAATATATAATTATTTTAAAGTTATTATTTATACAAATATTATGATTTTGCCATGTGTGTGGAAAAATTGCTCTTATACTTAGGTCATTACATTGATTTTTTAAATGCAAGCAGTGCAAGTACCCGAATTTGACCTGGTATCAGCCTCTTGCAGTCCCTGTATATCAGGCATTGAGTGTGAGAGGAAAAAGCACCTCAAGGAGCCAATAAGTTCATGAACTGACAGGAAGTAATATAAGAAAAGCAGAGTGGCAGAAAGATGAGATCACTCTGCTACTTCTGGTTCACTGTCCACTCACAGGCTGGGGATGGTCCCATGATGGTCATGGCTCATGTGAAATTAATCAAATAAAGCTGGCTGCTATTCAGCCTGGAAGATTGATAATATCTGTCAAAAAGTATTGCAGGGGACAGCTCTGGATTGTAAGTGAGTTTGGCAACAAAAGTGGCTTTTATTAGTTTATCTTTTGATGGTAGCTTCATGTTTTCATGGTGGCCAGATTTAAATGCATATATATGTGGAAGATCACAAATTTATTTTGGATGTCTCAGAGTTTCTTAACCCATCTGTTTTACTGCTGCAGTCAACCAAAACCAATAATATATATATCTATATCTATATATATATATAGATATATATATAGATATATATATATATATATATATATATATCTTTTCATTTTGTTTTGAAGGCAACATTAAAAATGACCAAATCCTTTAAATAACACATTTGGGGACCTTAAAGCTGTACATGATGTTATGTAATAGTTTGGATTTCAATAACAGTCACTGGCAGTGCATATTTGCCTGTGGAATACATTTGTCTTCAAACAGTAATAATAAGAGGCAGATAGAAATTGACCAGTAGTTCATTGTGACTGTCCTTGCTCTCAATGATGAAAAACTGCCTTGTCTCTGACCAATTTCTATCAAACTCATTAGGAATTAATGAGAAGGCCACAGATGACACAGAAGTGAAAAACTGGCCAACGACAGGCAGATTACAGGCAGGTGTGTTACTACACAAATTAAGAGACTGCAGAAGACACTGCACTGAAAAATTGGATAGCAGCATGGCAATTTTAAATAGAAAGGCTAAGCCCAAGTTTGCTAAAGAAAAAACAACACATTCTGGAGCTTTACTAGAAAAAGTAAGATAATGCAGCTGATTCAGCAGTGTAAAATATGCCAGCAGCAGTACAGTTTTAATCTCGGATTATAGGCATAACTGGTGTATGTCTAACTTTAATTTTATCTATGGGAATAGGGAGTGCATTGAATGTG